GTCCAATCAGTTTGGACTGCACACTAAGCAAGTAAGCTTTCCTTAAGGACATACTTGAGACGCCATCTACTGACCCGCTGGCCTCTAAAATCTTTTTCGGGCGACCCCGGGTGCGTACTCGCAAGGAGCAGGCACCGCATCCAAACAATCACCATGGTGCGCCTCAAGCTGTTCAAAAGTCTCTGCCCCTTAATCTGGATGTCGCCAAAGCTCCATCGCAGACTTCCCGGAGCCATTAGCCCCCCCAACAACATCAGAGGCCTGCTCAAGGGCTCTGAACGGAAAAATGAAATTTCCTTGGAGTCATATGGATCTGCTTTTTCTTCCTCCACACTCGGCTTCTATTCCTTGATGACTCACTGCTGGCGCATACTTGCAAAAAAATGCGGCCAGAAGGTTCCAAGGGGCTTCCCGGCTCCGAGGGACCTCCCAGAGCCTTCCCCCTCCCGAGACCCTCCCTGGGCGTGGTTAATTTTGCGTGGCCTTCTACTTTTCTTGTTTCGGTGGTTTGTGTTGCCGGGACAACCAAAAAATATCAAAAATGCAGCCCCCCAAATTTATGATTTTGTGGTTTTGCCTACTTATATTGCTGATTGAGGGCTGCAGGCTTTATGGCCTAGTGGGAAAGGCGCCTCACTCAACATCGATCTTTAGAATATGGAGGGGCTCAATAAATGAGATAAAAATGAAAGGTACCCCCTGCAGCTGGAACTTGCAAAACTGGAAATGTGAAATCGCTGCCTGGTGCCCTTCTAGCGGACTCATTTCTTATCCAGGAGATGCACTGTACTCACTCGGTAGTTCACGCCCATCGACATCCGCGCCTCGTCTTCCACCAAGTCTACTGGCGAGTCGAATCAGGCTCTTGCGTCCATCGCGCGCAACAGCTTCGCAAATTGACGTATGTCTGTGGTGCGCCAACGTGCCCATACCCGCTAATTGCAATCAAATTGACTTCTGTCTGTGGTGCACAACTGTGCCCGTACAGCTAGTCGCAGTGAAATTGACTTTGTTTGTGGTGCGCACATGTGCCCATACGGCTAGTTGCACTAGGTCTTGCACCCTTGTGCTTTCCCGGGAGGCACAATCCCCGCGGTGCCACCAGCTCCAGCTTTGCGGTAAGTGGCCGGGTCAACAAAGTTCAGCAGGCACACTTGTGATTACATGTTCGTCTCGTGTCAACATGTCTGTTTGAAATTGTGGATTTTTGTGCACTTGTTGATTTACATTTCTGATTGTAGCTTGGTTCTTGCTTCGTCAAACGATGTTCTCCCTTCTCGCGTGCAGGGACCATGGCATAGGCAGTGATCAAACAGGCCAACTACAACTACAAGAGCCCACAGTGGACTTGCTCGAGCCATGGTGCTTCTTCTTCTTATTATTATTACTACTACAACTACTACTGCCACTGCTACTGCTACTGCTACTGCTCCTGCTCCTGCTGCTGCTACCACTGCCACTACGACTACCACTATCATAATACTGCTGCTTTGGAATGGCTTTTGCTTTGGTGTTGCAGCGCGTTCCATTTTGTTGAGCTTGTTGCGCTACGCGCAGGCATTGGGTTGGCACTGCGGTGTTTACATGTAGAGAATGAGGACATATAAGGACTTAGCATGGCAGGGCAGGAGCAAAGTAAGAATCTGCCCACTGGATCTTCGAACCTGGCTGTGTCACAGCTCTCCTCAGGCAGGCCTTCTCAGTGCAATTGAGGCAATGCCGCTTTACATACGATGCCTCATTGCTTGCTTCGTATGTATACAAATACACATGTCGTATCATCACTAAACACTGTCCAAGTTTGTTGAACGTTTACCTGCAAATTCGACGTGCGCATGCAAACGGCGCTCGGTAGAATAAGCTTGCCTTCGACAATAGAAAGAGTGTGATTGGTAATACCGATTGGGGTAATATTAGGGTTATATGGGGATAATGGAAAAGAAAATGGAAACTACAATACTGGATTATATTGCCTTCGACAATCGCAACAGTAATTGGGAATTGATTTCAGTTCGCAGTATGCTTTCGGACCAGGTTCTTCCTTTACTCCCAAGGTTGGAGGTAAGGATCCATAGTTGAGAGGCCCATGGCCCCAAGTTTGAAGCAAGGTCCAATAGCAACAATAATCACAATCACAACGTTAGCAAAAACTAAAACAATAGTAATAACTTAGTAGTAGCAATAATAATATCAACCATAGTAGTAATAGCAGTAATAACCATAAAACTAATAACAACAAAGAAAGTAAAAATACCCCCCCCCCTATTCAAGTCTAGGGACCATTGACATCCATCCCGAGCTTGATGAAGAGCTTCAGAAGATGTCTCAGCTGCTCCTCCTTGCCTTTGCAGGGTATGTTTTTGGTATTATTAGGGATCCAAATAGCCCAGTTTACGGTTGCATCCAAATAGACAAAGATCCCCCCCCAGTAATAGGGACTATAAGGGATAATGATGATGATATTAGAGTCCTCTCACCTTCCGATTATACGACTATTACAAGGTGGGGGCTCCCCCAAAGGCATGCTCAGAGTGCTGGGATAATGTCAATGAACGCCGCTCGGAGCAATTGACTAATGTTTTTTGATGGTTGAACCTAGTAAGATTATACTCTTTATATACAGTACTATACCCAAAAGGAGGATACAGTGTTACTCTATATTGGGTACCATAGTATTCTCAGACATCAGTCGGTTTATCTCCATAGTATCCCCAAATAAAGTGCTACTCAATTGGGAGTGCTCCTTGTAAAACATGGCGGTGGGCCATCTGGAGCTCTGACGTCAGCCTTAAAGCGTGACCACTGACCTTCTACCCTAAACCCTAAACCCTAAACCAACCGACCGACCAACCTAAACCCTCAACCCTAAACCCATCCTTCCAAGCAGTCAGTACTTTAAGGTCAATGCAGCAACCGCGACATGACAAAAGCCTGGACACCACCTACATTCCTCCACATGAGAATTTCCCTAAACAAGGGGACCGCAACATAGACAAACTATTACAATCCTTATTGTGGACCCCCAAGAAGGTAACCTGGTCTTGGGACCTAAACCCCATATAATCCTTATATACCCCCATATATCCCCATATAAACCCCTTTAAGGGTTCCCCTAATTTTGGAAAAGCCCCACATACCCCCACACCCCATCCCCGCCATCCCCCTTGCTTGTACTTCAACGCTCGATCATGCTGCTTTAAATGTGCGGTGTAATGTTTATCATACTTCAGTGGGTGCTCGTGTGAACATCCGGAAGAGCTTGGACCCTGCTACCTCCCACAACCTCCTCTCACCGCCTCACTGGCAGCACTTTGTAGTCCTAGGCATCCCGTACGGCTTAAAGCCTACTCATCGAAACCCTGCATCTCCCTTCCCTCCAGCGCACCTTTTCGCGCCGACGCGGCCACATGCAAGGCCGATTCCCCAAAGGCACCCAAAAGGCGCTGCGTAGTCAGGTGGACCTCGGAACCCGCAGGACTTCAATGAGATCTAAGCTTCGTGTTCGTCGTAGGTTTTAGGAGTAGGGTTGGGACCTGAGGTCTCATGAGCTCGGGATTTCCCTAAACCCTAAACCCTAAACCCTAATCCCCCTAAACCCCATCTTTAGTACATACCTGCTGCATGCTGAAGGAAAGGAGGCGCAGGCCATTCAACACTGACAGGATGAACTTGTTGAGGTTTTATATAGGGAAATAATGGACAAGGAAATGGAAAAGACTATAGCGTATTGAGGTTTTTATTGGGATACTAGAATATGGATATTCCAGGGGACATTACCCCCAACAATTAAGAATCATCTGGAAAAATGGAAGATGAAATGGAAACTGGGCTCACATTGGCGTTTGTGCGTAGAAAACTTGTAAAACCAGGTAGCAAGGCCTAAGCTTGTGCCTTCCTGGACCTTAACTTATCTCAAGCGCGCAGAAACAAGTTTTCGGCAGAATTCGTTCCAGCATAGGCTCCTGAACCCTCCAAACTTTCAGATTTTGTGAAACATACCAAAAAAACTGAGCAAAAGCAAAAAAAAAAAAAAAAAAACTGCTGGACAAGTGGCGCCAAGGCGTTGCAAATCCAGCGCCCTTTCTGCAAGGTCGTGAGCCATTTGCAGATTCGCCCTGGAAAAGGTCTAGCGGATCAGGGCTTAGGGATATCTACAGTGGGGATCATGTAGGGTTTATATAGGCTTTGTATAGGGTTCAGGGATAGTACCATCAATTATGGAGAGTCGAATGAAAAATGAAATGAAAAGTACTATAGCAGGTAAAGCTATAGTTGTGGATATATGTGGCTCTACAAGAATGATACAGAATAGAATGGAAAAGAAACTGGAGAATGACATGAAAAGTGGGTGTATATTGGAGTTTATACGTGTACAGTGTTGCTTGGAACTGCGGCGGATGGCAGGGGAAATGTATTGAGTAGGCTAAGAATGATGGGGAGAACCAGGGTTATTTGCATGGTTTGGCTATTGCATGGTTTCTAGCTGTTGTTAGTATACTTTCCAAGTCTCCAAGGATTGTTGTCCCCTATCACCCCAATCTCCATTTCATTTACGAGAACCATGTTCTTTTCCATTCGATTTTCCAGTATTGAGGCACAATTCCTATAATATCCCTATATAGCCGCGACAATATTCCCACATATTCCCTATAATGTTCCTATGTAATCCCTACAATCCTCATCAGAACCCTCCAAGTAGGGCGAGAGAATACAAGCAACACATGAAAGATTCGTTTATCTGGGGCGCTCATTGGAAGGCACCTTGTGCAAGTGGAGCACGCTACAAACGGCCTCAGGATGGGAACCGTGGTTACTGGGATGGCGTTAAGAGTCGCACTTGTGGCCAACCGAATTCCCATTAATGTTTTCCCGGGAAGCCCAACACCCCTTCATCGAGACATACATATATACGTACGCGTGCGTATGAGAAAAGCATGTGCGCGTGCCTCTACACACGTTTATGGTGAAATATGCCAACAAATTGATTTATGTATGTACATTCATCCAACCATGCAGCTGAGACTCTCGGTGTCAAGGTACGTGACATTCAGCAGGGCCGCACCCAAGACACTGGAAGGGATTGTTGTATTCACGCCTGGAGATGCATATAAGAATCAAAAGGGACTTCCTTTCTGCAGTAGATACTTGTTGACTGAACTACCACCAACAAAAGAAACCCACCAAGATAGTTTGACCTGTGGGTTGGCCGAGTGTCGTGATTCGAAGCCAGCAATTCCCAGCTTTCCAGCTCCAAGCCTTGCTTCAGTCGCGCAGGGAGCCAAAGAGAAAACATGTGTTATTACTGATACCACCCCACTAGGCGGCTGAAAATATATACACTCACCAATAGCCCTTAAGAATCCAAATTACACGAATGAACCCCAGCAGAAAGCCCCATATTACCCCCACCCCCCTCGCACTAAGACATGGTCAAGATGCTGATGCAGCAACATCTTCCGGTCCATGTCGTGGGAGCAGGTGCACTTGTCAGCCTGAATGGCAAGGTTGGATAAAGAATGGGCGATCTCAAAGTCGAAGGCACCAAAAGCCCAGCAGCCGTTGTCAAAGGGACGCATGGTTGCAAGGGCGCCAGTGGTGCTTGCTAGATCCCACCCAAGGTTCAGTTCCTGGGCACCGAAGGCTTCGAACAGCATCCAAAGGCTTGGTGTGCCGTCCTTCCATTTCTTCGCCGTCTTACGGCTGAGGACCAGGACAAAACCAGAGCTGTGGTGCATGGCTTTCTGGGCATCTGTGTTCAGAATCTCCCCACTGTCCAGGCGTACAAAATGCGCCCCTGTCTCGGCTGCTACACGACAGAATGCGTCAATGTAGTACGTGGCCCGATCTGAGAGAGACCGGGCTTCTGCATGCCACTCAATGGCATCAAACATCTCCGTCAGTGGCATGTCCCAAGAACAGGTCAGGAAGTAGTCAGGTTTCTGCACCTGCAGCTACAGACAACCAATCAAAACCATCAACTTCAGCCACCCATGGACAAACCCGCGACACTACTACCTCCCTAAGCTCTCAACCCAAAAAATCTGAGGCTGCCTCCACTTGGAAGCACTGCGAGATGCGGCAGCCTTTAGGCTTGATAGCCTGCACCAGAACTGCTCAGGAAGTCCAAAATCTCTCAAGGATCTTGTTTAGATAGTCTTTCTCGCTACATACTTAAACCCAGTTGAGTCTTCTGGGCATGGAAAAGTGCTGCTTCAATCATAGCAAGCACAGCAATCCTGGCAACAATGACAAAACACTGCTTCCACCCTAAACCCTAAACCCTAAACCCAGAGCCTCCATGGCACCCAGGCCCGCACCACCGTAGCTGCCAGAGTCAGACCAGAGCTCCCGCGAGGTGGCTTCGTTCCAAGCCACGGACACCTGCTCCTTTGGCTGAAGCATTGTGCATTCTAGTCTTCCTTCTGATGCGACTACAAACCTGGTTATATAGGGGATTATATAGGAGACTACTACTAGTAGTCTCCTATATAATCCCCTATAGTCTGTAGAGGATATTAAGGAATTATATAGGAGACTACTATAGGGATCATTAAGGGGACACTAGACTAGGGCCACCATGGTGCAACAGCACAGCCAGAGGCACAAGACCAACATCGGCCATTACGATAACAGGAGCACGAAGACCGACCAGCATTGCTTGCCCGCTAAGAACGTATTGGTTTAGGGTCTATAGGGTTTAGGGTTTAGGTTCATGCATGAACCAAGTCCATACAAGCGTCCGAGCTGAAATACTTCTGCAACAGCGAGCGCAGAATGCGGATCTGCGCCAGGGTCAATGCTGCATCCTCGGGTGCCAGCATCGTGGCCTGACAGCACTCTGGGCGCCATCATCAGAATGCTTTGACAGCAGCCAATAAAAATTTTGGCACGACCTGCTGTGTTTCCCTTCCGTGCTAAAATTGGATGGCGCTCTGGCCAAAACTATTCCTACTGTCGTATCTCTGCTACACTGGCATCGCATATGCCTCCTGGATTCAGCGTATGTTTGTCATTCTACCAGATTCGTGCTCCATCCAACGATTTTTTTAGTGCAGCAAGGACCTAAATTGTGATGACGTGAAGGAATTTAGATTTGATACATACACCTTGAACATGCCATAATGAGCCCTAAGATCACCCCTTTGTATAACTTCCTTGCAAGGCAAAAATGCCCTAAACCCTGAACCCTGTATCCTAAACCCTAAGCCCTATATAAACCCTGAACTGTATCATAAGTTTTCATGGGCTCTAGTCTAAACTCCAAGTATCCCCCTTGATAAACCCTGTAATACTCCCTTATATCATCCCCTTTAGGGACCTTAGACTACAGCTCTCGTGGTGATGCTGCACCTCTTCGCTGGGGTAGCAGCACTTCAGCTCCGGCGAGTCCGCAAGGTGCAAGTCCTATCTGATCTGACGTGCTGTGGGCTGAGGGTAACAGGGATGATATGTAAGGTTCAGAGTTTAGTGCTTAGGGCTTATACATGGGCTTTATGGTGATCATATACGAACAATATATAGGGCCTTTATAAGGGCTTTATACGGATTATGTAGGGATGATATAAATTGTTTATAGGGATTGTTCAAGGGCATTCTGCGCTTTGAAGTGCCCAGAAGACTTGGCATAGTCTATCCGCTTGGGAAAGAGGGCAACTGCTTCGAGTGCTTAGGAGGTAGCGGTTGGTTCTTGTGTGCCATCTGGCAATCAAAGTGTTTAGCTCTGGGGATGGACAGCTGAACTTGTTACTGGCTTCATGTTTGGGACACCTCTTACCAAATGGCCCAATGGCTATCTGTGAAGGCTACCCAATTGTAGCTGGCTAAAGCTGTGGGAAGCAACATGGCAGCTTGCTGGGTCGTCTTTAAGGAACACGGTTACATAATTAAAAAGAAGGTATCCTCAATGAAGTGACTTAACTTCAAGTGCCTTAACGGCAACCCAGCTTGAGCAAGAACATGGAAGCCTACCAGCTGTCCACCAGGCCACGAGCACACAGGGAATTCTCGCATGCCCGACGGATGTTCTCATCCAGGTAGAAAAACTTCTTCGGCGCCTCCTTTTGCCACAAGACTGATGGTGCCACGTGCTGGCAGAAAATGAGCTAAAGTCTAGACTCCCAGTATCTCAATTAGTAACCCCTATATTTATAGCCTATAATACTCCTCTATATAATCCCCTAAAAACCCCCTTTAAGGAGTTTAGACTCTAGCTCAAAATCAAACTTAAAGACACCTTGAAGCTACAAGCAACAGGTCTCCTCCCGGACCAAACTGTGTTCAAAGGCGTATTCTGGGCTTCCGTTTCTGCGGAAGACTCCAGGCACCTGCAGAAAGGATGCACAGCCATACGAACAAGAGCTGTCGAAGCACTTAGACTATTCTGCTTGCAGCTGCCAAACTTTGCAAGAATTTGCTCGAACTGAGGGACAAAGGTGGGGTTCTCAGCAAACCGGCATTCTTGCGGATCACACGGACATGTCAGGATTGCAAAAGGAACTGCCACGAACTCATAGATCTCTTTGATCCAGTCAGCCCTGAGACGACATGCTAATTCTCTTCAAACAGCGCTGCTTCGCTAAATGGTGATCAGCTAAAATTCACGTGTGTCCCTGTCAATCGTTCATGGGAATCGTCCATGATGCAGATGCAGCACCAGCAAGCAGTAGCAGTTCAGAATGAAAGTGCTATGGTATCAACTTTGGTGCAATTGGAGCACAGTTTGGCAAGCTTCGCTAATCAAAAGATCAGTGAGCATGTGAAATTAGCGCAACTATGACGGTCACGCTCTCCTATGATCAGGTAAACTGCCAGAAAGTGATGGGTATAACTTCACGACAATTGTCCATCAACAACCCTCTGCACTGATGAAGATGAGCATGACCATCAGGCACAACAGTTCGCAGCCGAGTCGACTCGAATTCTCTGCGATGGCAGCTTAAAACTTCTATGAAAGATTATGGGTCCCTCTGCAATACCTGGCAAATTCTATATGAGCCATGATCAGAACCGCTTGGATGCGCTGCAGACAGCAGCACCAATCTTGTTTTGGACCCATCCAAAAGTTTGGACCCTGATTTCACGAACAATCACCCACAATCGGGCCATGAAAAATCTCCACAACGATCCCATAGGATCATAAAAGCGCACTGTACGTTCCCTTGCTGGGAGCAGCCCCGTACATTCCACAGCAGCCCCAACCAATCTTTATATAATCACATTTAGACCACTTGAAAACACATGTATCGTCTTCAATCATCTCTTACGCAGCCAAAACCCTGCCATATATCTTCCTTCCAGGAATTTATGTCTTCCCAAAAAAACCATACATATCCCCATGATATAACGCCCTATACAAGACCTTCCCTTTGAAGCAGGTGAAATACGAAGACCTGAATAATCAGCAATATCAATGGAGGTCTACGCAATTATCCCGAGAAACGCGCCGACACCAACCCCGTTTCCATGTCATGCTCCATGTTCATGTCCATTTGCTTCTCCGCTATTCCCTACACAGCCCTGCATCTCCCTATATCTCTCGTATACCTCTGTAAATCACTATATGTCCCAGTGTATCCCCTGTGTTTGCCTATGCGAGCCTGCATTTGCTACGGTAACTGTGGGGTTCCACAGTAATCCCCTCCCCCGCATATTTAAACTCCCCAACCCCCCCATATTAAATATTCCCCATATGTCATAGTCTGCCACTAACCATGGGATTATTTAACGTTGGGGGGCGGGTGGGGTTTAATATTAGGGGCGTTACTTGCCACACCACCCAACCTTGCGCTCTGTGCCTGGGGCCATCTGCAGCCCACCTTCCTCTCGTCTGCTAAGGGTGTTACAGGGAGATTTAAGGAGAAAGTCTAAACTCCTAGTATCCCCTTAATATCCCCTATAGTAATCTCCTATATAATCCCCTACATAACCCCCCTTAAAGGAGTTTAGACTATGGCTCATATATGGAGATACAGGGATGTGTAAGGATGTGGGGATACAGGGATATATAGGCAAGTTCGGTGCATTGAGTAAGGGATTATAGGATTCAACGGGGATATCGGGATATAGCAGACCCCAGAGCCCAGAATCGAAGAGTCCTGGGTTTCGAGGCCACGCAGCTCGGAGGTTTCGTCTGGGACCTCCTCAGGCGCTACAGATTTAAGGTGTTTGAAGTTCAGGGTTCAGGGCTTAGGACTTAGATACCCTGATTCGAGAAATATGGGCCACAAGCTAGACCTCAAAAATGTCATAAATTCGATGGTAAAGACTCCAAATATAGGTACCCATGTTGGGGTCCCCGTATTTGCAAAAACCCCCTAAACGCTAAACCCTAAACCCTAAATAGTTGAAAGATGCATCGGTCAGGCCAGAAGTATCCCGCAACATGGACACTTACTTCTGGGGGATCTGCCAGCAACCCGTCGTCGTCGCTTAGGGGCCAAATCCTTCATGGATATATACATAGTCAAACTTATCCCGTAATCAGTGCAGAAGTTGTGCAAGTATTCGGACCCTTGTCACTCCCGTGGCTCACGGAACTCCGCGGCTCCACTGCGATTCCTCTAGCTACCTTTGTACGTTCCCCAGTCCACAAAACCACAGTGGAACCTTTGCAGTAAGCAAACATACGACATGCAGTGCTTGTGCCAGGCCAGGCGTCGACAAAGTAGGAGTGCGCGATGTAGTTCAGGATGCGGCGGCGGTCCGTGTCCTGGGAAGCCTCTGCCTTGCTCGTCTCCAAGGCCCGGAGTGCCTGCATGGTGACTCAAGGAACGGTTTTCACTGGCTACGGTCCCCCTTGTGTTCCCTATCCATCCCAAACATGAAGATCCCCATGGTGAGGATGACCGCATGAGAACTGCAGACTCGGCAAAGGGTCGCAGCAGCTCTTATCCGAAGATCTGCATTC